AGGAGGGTCTCGCTAGCGAAACGGGAAACCTCCGCTTCGTCCGCGACGTGAAGGGTGGGGGTCGCCCCTTCGTCCCTGGTTGCCGCCGGGCAAAGTACCCGAAATGGGTCGCCCTTGTTGTTTTCCCTGGCAATCTCCCAATAGTCCGACCATGCATCCTGGGTGAGCGACTCCTGCCCTTGCCCCCATCGGCGCTTGCCCCCTTCCGGGGGGGCGATCTGGGTCTTGGGTCTCGAGTCGTTTCTGGAGCTGGCCGCGCCTTCGGACTTCCAGCTGCGGGTGGCATCTTCGGCCTTCCAATAGCTGTCATCTTTGGACTTGTTCTTCCAGTCTGAGCCGGAACTTTGGTTCCCCCACTTCCAGCTTTGCCAACTCTTTTCGGGCTCCTTTCTCCCAAGGGATTCATGCTCAGACGTCTTGTCGCGTTTCCTGTGCCAGCTCTTTTCGGGCTCCTTTCTCCCAATGGATTCATTCTCAGACTTCTTGTCTTTTTTCTTTTTGTCCTTCTTGGACTTTTTGGATTTTGCATGCTTCGCATGCTTCCTCTTGCTCGATCCCTTCTTCTTGTCCTTTCTGGACTTCTTCGAGGCTTTCGACCTCTTCTCTCGCTTCCTGGGAGGTGCCGGCTCCGAAGGTGAGCTCGAGCTCTCCTCGTACGAGCTCTCAGAGATAGAGTCTGAGCTCGACATGGCGATGGGATGCTGCCAAAAGAAGAGAAAAACTCACGGGCTTTATCCCAATGGCTCGAGATTACACGGATACAGAAAGTAAATACGCTCAACTCTGTTCGAGAAGAAGGTTGCATGTCAGACAACCCGCATCGCGGCATGCATCACGCTGTTTGGTGGCGTTTCTCACCCTCACTCGTAGGTCTATCTGAGCGTTCGCCATCTTGACGATTGATGCTCCTTCAGGAGCGTAAAGCTTTATGTTCGCTTCCACAGGGAACGAGCTCTGCCGCTCCACACTCAGGCTTCAGGCCTAAGCAGACACATTGAAGAAATCACACGAGGAGACGCCAACGATCTTGCCGTGAAAGAACAGAATCCCGCCGCTAACACTGAAGTCGCGGCGGAAGCTTGCGTTTCCGGGGTGACGGCGCCGCAAGGTCGGTCATCTTCGGACAATGATTCCTGAAAGGAAGCATAAGCACCTTAGTCAAAACGTTGTATGCGCAACCAAGTCCCGCACCTGACGCTGACGCGAGAGGGGACAGTCAGCAAGGCGAAGAAAATGACATTGACACCGAAACCCTGCGCGGACCAACATCTTGGCCGCGGCTCTCCCCTTAAAAAGGGGCCGTGGTAGCTGCAGACCTCCTGTAGCTGCCTAGGCTGGGCGAAGATGGAGCAGGTGTTGCATGCTCCTTCTGCTCGCGAGCCGTCGTCGGGGCATCTGAGCCAGCACTATCTCTGTGCGGCACATTCCGTGCCCTCTTCACTGGTCCGGCAGCACCGGAAGATGCGCCTCTTAGCTGCTTCTTCTCCTTCTTACGCTGTTTCTTGGAAGACTTCTTCTTTTTCTGTTTAGATTTAAGTTTCTTATCAGGAGGTTTGGAACGAGGGACAATCGGATCAAACGCAGAACTCCACGACGACATGTCGTCGTCGAACTCATCGAACTCAAACTCTCCCTGACTGTCACAGGACATGACTGTTGACTTCTGAGGGGCTCACGGCTG